AGAAATGGTGAGCAAGCAGATTTCAGAAAAACTGGAAAGACTTACATGAACTAATGCTGAGTGAAGTGAGCAGAACCAGGAGAACCATGTATGTAGTAACAGCCATATTGTACAATGACCAACTTTGATAGACTTGGCTCTTCTCAGTAATACAATGATCTAAGACATCTCCAAAAGACTCATGATGGAAAGTGCTGTCTGCATGCAGAGAAAGAACTAAGGAGTCTGAATGCAAATCAAAGCATACCATTTTCTCTCTTTTTTTCTCCTTTCTCATGGTTTTTCCTTTGTGTTCTGATTCTTCTTTCACAAGATGACTAACGTGGAAATATGTTTAATGTGATTGTACATGTATAGCCTATATCAGATTGCTTGCCATCTTGGGGAAGGGGGATGGGAAGGGAGGGAGAGAGAAAAAAATTTGAAACTCAAATTCTTTTTTTTTTTTTTGCTAGGCAATATGATTGAGTGACTTGCCCATGGTCACACAGCTAATAAGTGTCAAGTGTCTGAGGCAGGATTTGAACTCAGGTCCTCCTGACTCCAGGGCCCATGCTCTATCCACTGTGCAATCTAGCTGTCCCAGAAGTAAAATCTTATAAAAGTAAATGTTGAAAACTATCTTTACATGCATTTGGAAAAAATGAAATACTGCAAAGTGGGGGAAAAAACCCTCAGCCTCAAGTACACTCAAGATTACGGGGAATTGAACTGGAGAGAAATGAATTTAGACAATAGAAAAATCAAATGTAACCTTTTCCAGATATCAAGAAAAGCTTCAGTTGCTGCTTTAAATACACATTGAAAGGTAATTCTTTAATTCAAAGCATGTGTGATCAAAGAAAAAAAGTTCAGGTCATCTTGGTCATTCTCTGCCCTACCCTATGTCACTTATCAGTTAATTATTGAAGTGTGAAGAATGGAGAAAAAAAGTTAGCTTGCTATCGGCTTGTTGTGACATTGTTTCATAATATTAAATAATATTAATAATAATAAATAAATTAAATAATAAAATTGTTTCACCCATTTAAAATTCTCACTTTAGGAGTGCATGTAAGTCCCTCAAACTTGTTTATTTTTCTATTTAGAAGCCACTTTCCCAATGAACAACATACAGGTCTGTGGAACAGAGGAAAGAGAACTGGGTTGTTAAGTGTCACCGAGCAAAAGAAACCCATCAATCCCTGTCAGGTGCCTCTGTTGGAATGGCTTCTCTTTGCTTTCTCTGGTCACAAGCCACACCTAGAAACAAAATACCATTAAGAAAAGAGTTATGCCAGTCAAGGTGGAAAAACATTGGTGTTCAATTGTGTCTGACTCTCTGTGACCCCATTTGGAGTTTTCTTGGCAAAAGATATTGGAGTAGTTTTCCACTTCTTTCTCCAGCTCATTTTACAGATGAGAAAACTGAGGCAAACAGGGTTCAGTGACTTGCCCAGGTTCACCCAGCTAGTTAAGTGCCCAAGGTCAGATTAGAACTCAAGTCCCCCTGCCTCCAGGGCCAGCTCTCTATCCACTGCACCACCTAGCTGGGTGAGAACTTCTCATGGAATCTTAGGAGGTAATGTTGCCTGTCACGGAGATGGGCATTCCAATAAACTTTATCATTGCCCAGGGTTTTATAGATCTACAGTCATTGGATGACTTTTATATTATTACTATACAGGATAAATTCAATTATGACACAACTGTCTCATCTTGGGACTTCCCTCAGCATCTGTGATCTTCTCACCCTGAGACATCCCTCTGGATGCTGGATCCCTTCTCCCACTGCTAAGTTCCTTCTAGGGCCTCTATTTTGGGAATGGGCCCAGGCTGGCCTGACAGTGCTTCTGAGTCTCTGGAATTTGTCACCATGTACCCCACATGGGTGCACCGCTCCCCTTTTCAGTGTTGCCTTCCCCCATTAAGAATGTAAGCTCTTTGAGGGCAGGAATTGTCTTTTTGCTTGTATTTATACCCCCAGTGCTAAGCATGGTGCTGGGCACACAAGGGCTTAATAAATACTTGCTACCTGTCTGCTTTCCATCTGCTCAGAGACTGACAGGAAGAGTAATTCCCTGAAGATGAAAATTGGAAGGTAGTTCAACAGTGAACACCTTGTCTTCAGTAACACCTGTTACTGAAGTTTCATGTCATGTTTCCATAGTAAAAGTGAATTGTCTGGAGTCTTCCTCCTTCAGCTTCATTCCACAATTTCACTCAGATGTTCTAGTTATCTTTATTCCTTTTAAACTATGCAGTTTTGCTATTAAACACTCTAGTATCATCAGCTTAATGTCTATGGCGTGGGCTACTTGCATGTAAGTCCACAGAATCAGTTAGAATTGGAATAACAATAGGAGCTAGCATTTATGTAGCACCTACTATGTGCCAGGTTTACAAATATTATCTCATTTGGTCCTCACAGCCATCCTGGGAGGTATTATCATTCCCATTTTACAGATGAGGAAACTGAGGCAGAGGTGAAGTAACTTGCCTAGGGTCATACAGCTAGAAAGTGTCTGACGCTGGATTTGAACTCAGGTCTCCATAACTCCACATTCAGCCCTCTACCCACAATGCTGCCTAGCTGTACTTTCAATTCATATACTCGAAAAACATTAAGGGCTCACTGAGCTCTAAGTCCATGACTATTAAAAGAATGGCTATCTTGGAAAAAAAAAGTGTTAGTCATTTTTTCAACATCAAAACTTGCACTTTAAAGGTTCCATTCTGTGCAAGTCAATATACTTTGGTGACCTTTGAGTTTTTTGCCTTATGAAAAGGTTTAGGGTGGATGCATGTACCTGGGAGCAAGGGGAAAAAAAAGGGATTGTCTTGATTTAGAGTCCAAAAATCATGACTTTTTTTTTAAATGAATCAACTGCTACCAAGAATTTGAAAAATATTACTACTTAATAACCCCAATAAATTAATTTCACTCTTCCTGCTCTCTTGCCTCCAACCCGTGTTCAGCGACCTACAGATGCCTTACTTCTGGGCAACCTGGAAAATATGGGGGAAAGCCAGAACCATGTCTGGTGGGCCACCAAATATGAAAGGTTTCAGCACATGAGCAGCTGACCCAAAGAAAGTAAATCTAAAACACTGAATGAGCATTATTTATTTTTGTCTTTGTATACCCCATAGTAATAACAATTATAGCATTTATATAGTTTAAGTTTATATATATATATATATATTTTTTATAAGGTTTGCAAATACAATCTTACTTTTTTTTGCCAAAACAACCTAGGGAGGAAACCGAGGCAGTGAGAGGCCCAGGGTCACACAGCTTATAAGTGTCTGAGGCCACATTTGAATTCAGGGCTTCTTGACTCTAGGCCCAGAGCTCTATTCATGGCAACACCTAGTTGGGTAGTTCTCCAACAGAGTAGTTTTGCCAACCTAGCTATTACTAATTAAGTAGGCAGTTAAGAAATGCCTTTTGCTTGATTCAGCAGTAAATTCACTAAAAATGCTGGAGTAACCAGAAGATCTTGGTCCTTTCATTTTATTTCCATCTTTTCTCGATCATGTCATTGACATGACAATCTTGGGAGTATGAAATATTCCCTCTAAAAAAGGACAATGAAAAGAAAATTCTCTGACATAAGGAAGGGATGTCAGAAAAATATTGCTGGCAGTTTCCACCATTTTAGAAAACAAACAAACAAACAAAAAAGCATCCTTATATCACCATGTAAATTTCACTAGGGAGTTAAAACCAACAAACACCAGAACACCAAATCGTCAGGCTGTAGAAATTCTGGGAGTGCTGGTAAAAAGGCTTAACAACCGGCTCTCCCTCATACAATATTAAACATTTCCTCCATCACTTTCTTAAGTCTAGACAATCAGCAGAACAATAAAATCCAATCCTTATTTGTAGCAGTTTGCTGATTTCTGAGATGTAAATGCTTGGATTGAAAATTTAACATGAAGCTCTTTTAAATCCGGCTTGAGATGGTTCCAGCACACCCCTGACTGGAGTCCAGGGATTGAGAAGGAGTCCCATTCTGAATTGGCTAGGGAAATTGTCTCATTTCCATTTTGAATTTGCCTCCTCCTTTAACAAACTGGGGCTGTATCCTGCACTATAGTGTGAATAGAATAAACATTAGGAATTGATGAGATGATAGGTTAGGAGCTGGACCTTAACCAGTTAGAGAATTCCCAGTGAGGAGCTTCCCTCCACCAGGGCAGATTCACACATTCTCTCATTTAGAGTTGTCTTGAACAGTGGTGTCAGATTCAAATAAAAACCGATCGATCACTAGCGATCGATCTATTGATCTATATCTATATTGACTTAGAAAACCACACACCAACATCATGTTGTATTTTAATTTATTTTTTGTTAAACACTTCCCAATTACATTTTAACATGGTTTTGGCGGCACAGCTACTTGTGGCCGAGTTTGATACCACTCAGAGGTGTAGCGACTTCCCCAGGAAAAGAGTATTAGACGTGGGACTTGGATGGCGGGCTTCTCGACTCTGACTCTGGCTCTATCATGATGTGGTGAGGAGACTGTAGCCTGGGAACATTTTCTACTCGGAGTAGCCAAAGTAGGAACAGAATTTTCTCCTTGCTACTGTTTCCTTTAGATCACTTAGACAATGAGACACAGAGAAAGGAGACGGAGACAAAAAGAGAGGAGAGACAGGGAGAAGAGGAAGACAGAGCAACAGAGACAGACAGGCAGAGACGGAAGACAGAAAGAAGAGAGACAAAGGTGGGGGCAGGGAAGGGGGAAGGGAGAGGCAGGGAGACAGAGAGACAGAGACAGAGTGTGACTGGTGGTGGAGGGAGACAGAGAGGCAATGGAGAGAGACTGGGAGAGATAGGAGAGAGGAGAGAGACAGGGAGAGATAAGAGAGGAGAAAGAAAAACAGAAAGACAGAGAGAGAGAGACAGAAAGACACAGAGAGAGAGAGAAAGAGAAAGAAAAGAGAAACAGATAGAAAGGGAGAGAGGAGAGAGAGTGGGGGAGATACACACACACACACACACACACACACACACAGAGAGAGAGAGAGAGAGGAGAGAGAGAGAGAGAGAGAGAGAGAGAGAGAGAGGGAGGAAGGATGGGGGAGGAAGCACAAATTCCCATGCTGGTATAATTATCTTTGGACTTTTTTGTCTCATTAAAGATTTTTATCAAAGGCATCACTCCAACAGGATTTTCTATGTCCACCATAGAGTCAAGTAATTGATTAGCATATAAACAAACATTTACACATCCTCATTCATTTAAAAAATATAAATAGTGACAATGTTGGGGGTATTTCCCCCCTTTCTCTTCATATTTTTTAAAAGACTTTATGTTACAGATCCTTCTTTATTGCATAATTCTACTCTATCATAGATAGGGCACTTTGCCCAGGAGAAGGCAGACCAGGACACATTCTTGACAGTGAAACTTAACTTGTTTAATGTTGACCCAGTCTGGTTAAAAACTAAAGAATCAACCACCCTTTAACCAACCCCCAATTTCATTACTTTTCTTCCTACCATGAAAAAATAGAAAGGGTTATATTTTGGGCAGCTGGGAGAAGGAAAAACAAACAAAGCAACCAACCCAGAACTGTGTATTTTTCTGCTGTTACCGTCCCCTCCCCCCATCAAAAAATGCCAAAACCCCATAATTTTTTAGTGGATTGTAATTTGAAAACTGATCAGTTTAAATAATCTTGAGAATAAAGATGAGTTTTTCATTGGGTCATCTAGGAGAGGCTAAAAGGAAGAGGTCAGTGTCGGAAGCACGCTTCTGAATGCACAGACCTCTGTGGGGGTCACCTCAGCTTCAGGAGGCTGAAGGGAAGCTGGGCCCTGGGCTGGGGAGAGGAAGTCCCTGGGAAGACTGTCCAGCAGGCAGCTGAGCTGCTCCTGGCCTAGTTTGATCTTGTCATCCAATTTCCGCTGCTCGATGAGAAGCGTTGACTTCATCTTCACAAAGTGCTGGTAGTCCTGGAGCTGCTCCTTTGTGAGGTAATTGGCCAAGATGTCCAAGACCACACGCTCCCTCCGGTCCAGGTTCTCTTTGAGCTCCCGAGCATCTTCGTGCTGGCCAGCCAACACCTTTTTCTTCTCATTTAGAGAGCTCTGCCGCATGAAAAGAAGTGCATTAATAAAAATAAAATCAATAAAAATTAATTAAAAAGTAAGTGTGTTAAAGACAAGAAACAGGAAGGAAGGAGCAACTTTAAATGCTCTGTGACAACACTGAGGCAGAGTACATCATAAGATATAAGAAACAATGCCTATAAAGTACCGAAACTCATCCCACAAAGCCACACATCTTGGCTTGTTACTGTTATACCTGTCCAGCAAGGTGGCACATGGGATAAAGTACCGGGCCTGAAAGCAAGAAGACTAGAGTTTAAATTGAGGCAAGTCACTTAACCTGTGTTTGCCTCAGTTTCCTCAACTGTCAAATGGAGATAATAAATTGTACCCACTTCCCAGGGTTGTTGTGAGGATCAAATGAGAAAATATTTATGCTGGACTTAGTATGGTATATAGTATATAGAAATGCTTGGCTAGCATTCTCCTCAATTACTAATATATTTATAAATTTTATAATATACCTATAATTTCTTTGTTAATTTATACCAATAAATAATGTATACTAATTCACAAATAATTATAAATTATAAATAATCTACTAAGGAACATAATAAATCACAATTAATAATGAACAATAATAATACCACAGAGTATCATATAATACATTATAATATAAAATAACGTTAATGAATTAATAAGAAATCACAATTAATGATGGTGATGATAAACCTTGCTCATTAGGAAGCCTCCTTTTAGGCTTCAGTCTGAGGGGAATATCTGACGTCGGTTGAAGCTATGACATTCCCTCAGCACCTTTTCTTGGGGAGAAGAGAAGATCTGGAGGTCTTGCTAATTAATAATTGTGATAACATGACTGAATTATCCAGAACCCTCCTCTCCCACGTCTTAATCTTGCATCAGGGAGAATATACTCATTAACAGTGACAGTTTCACATTTTCTAAATGTTTCCTCTTGTTTCTGATGTCTTTGCAAAGACGAAACAGAATTAGAATCCAGAATCCAGAGTCAGAGTTCATTTTTTCTGGGTAAGCCCAGTGACTTCACTGATGTAGGGGACATCGGGTGATAAAGCTCCCTCTTGTGGAAGCTCTCAGCAGCCTCTCTCTAGAAGCTGCCCAGCCTTGGGGCATTGACTGGTTACTTACTAAATCATGCTGCCTTCTTATCAAATTCTTTGGTTTATTAACTAAGCTAAATAATTTTTGAACAGATTATTTCTATTATCATGCTATCAAGACCTAAAATTAAAAATTTCATCTTGCCTACCCTTTCCCTCCCCACCAAAAAGACATTATCTAAATGCTTTCAGTTATTTTGCATAGCACAGAGTAGTGGTTCTCAAACTTTTCAACTGAGGACTGTTGCAATCTTAAAAAATTATTGAGACCCCTAAATAACTTATTATGTGAGTTATATCTATTTACATTATGTTAGAAATTTTAAAATCTTAGCATTATTATGAAAATAGTGCTGACCTTGTGGAGTAACCTGTGAAAGGAGCTCAGGGACCCCCAGACTATAGCCTGATAACTATTGGAACAGAGGATAAAATAATACAACTCTGAGATGATCAGTTAACTTACCTAGATGAGATACATGAATGTATTGGATTTATTATTGGTCATAACAAAGGACGAATGTGAAGGATTCAAAGAACCCTGGGAAAATGTATATGAACTGATGCAGAGTGAACAGAACCAGGAAACTAAAACCCCTGGAGGCCCGGTCTTTTCCGAGGTCCTTTCAAGTTGTCCTAGGAGCACAACTGCTTTACCCCTTTATTTTTCTGGCTCTATGATCATTTTGTGTCAATTTTCTCTGTCACTTCATGGAGGAAGTCTGGAGAGCCTGGAAATTTCTAACCTACTCCACTATCTTCCCAGAATGCCCCAACCTCCAAAGCCACAATAACTACAATGTAAAGGAAGGGAAGAGGGAAGGGAACAAGCATTTCTACGGTGTCTGCTATGTGCCAGGGGCTGTGCTCATCACCTTTTGCAATATTATCTCACTTGATCTTCACAACAACTCTGGGTTATCATTATCTTCATTTTACAGTTGAGGAAACTGAGGCAAATGGTGGCAACTTTTCCAGAGAAACAAAGCTAGTGTCTAAAGTCAAATTTGAACTCAGGTCTTCCTGACTCCAAATTTAACAATCTACTGTGTGACCTAGCTGCCTAAAAAGAAAACATATGTATAAAAAAGTTTTTTTTTTTCTTTAACTCAAGGTGTCAGACAATCCCGTTACAAAATCAAGGCAGGCAAATTTTCCTAAATTTAGCATTTGTTTTAGGGATATTAGGGAGATGGCAGGAGAACCCTGTGGGAACCTCACCCTTCAGTCAAGTAGGATGAGGAAGGGTCTGGCATTTTTGAATGCTCAAGTTCTATTCCTGGAAAAGTCCTGTATATCTGTGTTAAACATCAGCCTTTCTCTTTTTGTCTTGCTGCTAGGAACACAGAAAAGCTAATTGTGTGAAGGGTGATAAAATAGAACTTCAAAAATAATTAGAACATGCATTGAAAAATAGCTAGAATCAATACAATGCTTTAAAGTTTGCAAAGCAGTGTGTGTGTGTGTGTGTGTGTGTGTGTGTGTGTGTTTGAACCTCACAATACTCCTGTGAGGTAGGTGCTGTTATTATCCCCATTTTATGGATGCAGAAATTAAAGTACTTTCTAGTTCTCTTTATTACGTCTTCCAAAAATGAGAGATAGAGATAGATAGAGAGAGAGAGAGAGAGAGAGAGAGAAGAGAGAGAGAGAGAGAGAGAGAGAGAGAGAGAGAGAGAGAATATCAACCTGAAAAGAACATTATATGAAACTAAGTTGGGGGGGAAAAACCCAGTGTAGTTTATTTATATCCCAGTAGATTTATAAAAACCTCTAATAGGATTTGGCACAATGTGTGATATACCAAAGGATGGATTTAATTTCTAATTTAAATTTAATCAGACAGTTAAAAAAAGATTTTTGACATTTAGGAGAAAAATCATTTGCAAAAGTTAAAATAGAAACCAATCCATCCAAAGGTTACAAAGATCTACTCGAGCACATACACATTCACATGGGGGTTCCCTGAAGATTAATTAATGCCTCCCTGCCCCCAATCTCCCAGACTTTTTCCCTAAAGATACGATCTAATAGTTAGGGAAAAATAAAAACAGAAATATTTTAGAACAAATCAAGAAAACAATTCTAAAACAGGATCAGCCACTTAGACCATGAACTTGAAAAGTGAGACCCTCCAAACCACCCTTGATATTTAAATTTAACCCACCATCTATTTCATTCCCCTCTTTAAAAATGTGACAGCCATTTTGTAGGCCAGATCAAGATGGCTTCTTTGCACCACTCCCACAATTGAGATATCTCTATAGCAGCTGAACAAGTGGGTAGAGGGAGGAAAAAGATTGGAAGGAAGGAAGGAAGGAAGGAAAGGAGAGAACACTGTTCTCAGGAATTTCTCTTAAGAGTGGTGAAGATTCAGAGCATCCCTGTCTCCTCCGTGTTCATGAAATAGTGAAACTGAACTAGGTTAGCAATCTGGTGCTTGCATTTAAGCCTCTGTGTTTTCTTTTCAAATGAAATTTTTCTTTTGGGAAAAAACAAAGGATTTTGAAAACTACGTTCCCATCCATCTGCCACGTTGACTCCTTTTATGGCTAGCTGAAGGAAAGATGATGGAAATATTTGGGGGAGGAGGGAAAAAGAGAGGCCGGGAAAATACTTAATGTATTCATCCTATAGCTGGGGATCTGTTGTTTAGCATCTGATAATCATAATAAGTGGCATTCATACTAGTCTTTGAAGTTTACAAAGAGGTGCACTCTTGTGGTCCCTGACACCAGGGAGCTGGAGGCTGGTAGACTGCTTTAGCTCAGGAATTCTGAGGTGAAGTAGGAATAAAGGCAAAAGGATGGCCACACTCAATCTAGCACCAATATGGTGAACCCTAGAGATCAGTAGGCCACCAAGCTGCTTAAGAAAGGATAAACAAGCCTAAGTTAGAAAGTGCAGCAAGTCAAAATTTTGGAGCCAATTCATAGCGGGATCAGGCCTGTGAGTGGTTGCTGCATTTCTAGACTGGGTGAGTTAGGCAGACCCCGTCTCAAAATAAAAAGGATGATGTTTGGTGGTCTTGGACAGCTTCTAATTTCTCCCTACTCCTGTCTAAGTTGGCCCTGAACTACTCTGAGTTCAAAATACGTGCCAGCACATACTGATATTTTCCAAATTTTTAAAAATTTAAAATAAAATTAAACAAATAAATAAAATAAAACAAAAAAAATCTCCACTACAGGAAGAAGACTCTTGTCCAAGACATAAAGGAAATTCAGAAAAGTGCCACTTATAATCTCTATGCCATGTCCTATTTTTTTTTAACAAAAAAAATTATTTTTAGTTTATGGAATGAAACAAGCATTTCCATAGCATGGTACAATAATAAAAAATGATTGTACACAAAACTGCAAATCTGCTATGCACAACTTGCTATTCCTTTTAAATATACAACAAAATTACTGTGTACATTTCTTTTTTTTTTCTTTAACCAAAACTTTGAATTCTGGTCCAAGTATTAATATCAGTTTGCTGTGTAATCTTGGACAGTTCACGCCCCCCCTCTGCAGATCTCAATTTCCTCATCTGAAAAGTGGATAAATGATCTCCAATGTCCTTTCTGGCTTTAACAGTCTATGATTCTATGATAGAAAGGGGATGTGGTTCCCCTCTGGGTGCTGTGGGGGTTGGGAGAATTCAAGGGCAAATGCTCCTGGCTTCAGTGGAGCATAGCGAGCATGATGGTAGAGTTGGGGAAGGCTGCTAGGAGACCCCCAAAACAGTAAAAGACTTCCCAAGGTGTCAAATTTGGGGCTTGTTGGTCAAATTAGTCCTTTTCTGGAGTACAATGTACCTGCCCCAGCTCTCCTGCAATGAATACAATGAGGCCCTGAAATGGGATTCTCCAGTCCCATGCCCCCTTCTTCCTTGCTGCCGTGGTACATTTCCACTCACTGAGATGCAGCAACCCGGGTTCCCAGATGGAAGCGCTATACTCTGACACTTTCCATCCTTAAAGTTTGCTTTTCTTTGAGGATCAGTACCACAAGCTAATACATTTTGGGAAGAGGCAGGGGGTAGGGTAATGAGGAGGGTCACTTAGGCCCTCAACACTTTCTTTTCCAAGTATTTCCTAGGCCAGTAGTTCTATCACACACGTGATACACGTTTGGATCCTTCTCTTATAGGCACATACCCTGTTTCCTCCATATGCTTGAGGGTTAGGGAGCAGGTCTTGAGAAAACTCAGTCTGTGAGCTCCCGGAGACCAAGGACTGTCCTTTGCCTTTTTTTGTTTCCCCAGCTTAGGCTCAATAAATGTAAATTGACCTGACTTTTGTATAGGTGATAGAGACACAGCAGGAGTCCCATAAATGCTTGTTTGATGAGTTAGGTTACCTACCCGCTCTTCGTTATCAGCATCTTCACCCAAGCCACTGAGAACATTTTCTACTCGAGCCAATCGTCCTGAGAGGGAAAGCAAGAGGTTCACGACCTTGTCCAGGTCTCCTATGAACATCTTGTACTTGTCAAATTCATTGGGTTTACAGAGTTTGCTGATCAAAGCTTCCACATCTTCCCCAAGGGCACTGTTGAGCTTGATGTCCATCAGCAAACTCTCCTTCGCTTCCTTCAGCGACTCCAGTTTAAGCCTCAGGCTTCCGATGAGCTTTGCCTGTAGCAGTAATGGAGTAAACACATGGGCACATTAAAATCCAAGGCAAAATGGAGGCTGGCACCACGCTCAGATGCCCTCTCCCTGCCAGTCCAAATTCTGCACTGCCAAGGATTAGTTCAAGAGGGAGGCTGTGAACAGTGAATGAGAAAGATATTGCTGGATCCGGATTCAAATCTCAGCTCTTCTGGGCAACTGTAGCTAGCATTCAGTAACCCTTATATGTTTACAAAGCTCTTATAAATATCTCATTTTATCCTCACAACAACCCTGTTAGTTAAAAGCTATGGGTATCCCCATTTTACAGATGGGGAAAATGAGATAGAGTTAAATGACCTGCCTAAGGTCACACAGGTAGTAAAATGTCTGAGGCTGGATTGGAACTCAAGCCTTCCTGACTTCATGTCTGGTGCTCTATCCACTGTGCCATCTTAAGACTTCTTTTAGTCTCTTTGATCTTGCTTCCTTGTCTATAGAATGAGATGGCTGGATTGGCCACCCTAAGGTTTTCTCCAGCTCTAAATTTGATGGTCATAGTCATTCACTTGTATCCTTGAGTGAACTCTAGGCAGGGATTAGGGGCTGTGGGGAACACATGATTCAGGGGACTCAGTACCTTTTCTTGAACAGTTTCTCATTTAGCACACAAAACAACTACAGAACAAAATAAAGCAGTATATAGGATGGTTCTAGAGGAGGTAGGATATAGGGATGGATGACCCCTAAAATCACTTCTTTTTTAAAATAGTGTTTTATTTTTTTCTACTTACATGTAAAGACAATTTTCAACATTCATTTTTTGATAAAGTCGTTTCTGGCCCTAGACCTATTATTTGTGGCCCAACGAATACTTGGAAGATTGAGAAACGTGAGTGTCCCCGTTCCTTTCATTTCTACTTCCACCGATACTCCCTCTATTCCAAACGTATGAATGGCCGTCATTAAAGAAAAGATGGAAGAGGATGAAAACTGTGGGAGCGTCTATGGAAATGGATGCAGCTGCATCTTGTTGATTAGAGACTTGTTCCAGGAATGCAGCAAGACCTCAGCTGCGGAAGATCACGTGACTCATTTCACATCCTGCAGGGATGCCTGTGGCAGGTACATTATCTACCAGCCCAAGATCTGGCAGGGATCTTTAGAGGTCATTTGGTCATCATCCCACCTCTTCCCTGCCTATCTCTGCCCAACATGTTCTCTACTTTCTCTTCTTTTCTACATTTTCCAGAGGTACCACCCAATACAACATTCCTTATGTACTGCTTTATTTTGTGCTCTTCCCTGGCTAAATTGTATCCTCAAGGGATGATACTGTGTCCTCTAATATAAACTTGGGGTTAGCATTCCTTTTTTTTTTTTTTGGCAATTGGGGTTAAGTGACTTGCCCAGGGTCACACAGCTAGTAAGTGTCAAGTTACTGAGGGCGGATTTGAACTCAGGTCCTCCTGACTCTGGGGTTGGTGCTCTATCCACTGTACCACCTAGCTGCCCCCAGGGTTAGTATTCTCAAAGGGAATATATAGTAAAACTATCTCCTACTATTAAAAGTAATTTGGGTGTACAAATGGTTGAATTCTTTCTCACCACCTACCTCTCTACCTACATGGGTATGATGAGAGATTTAGCAAGAGGTCCCCAATATGTTGGATAGACCTTTTGTGTAGGATTGATGGGAGGTCATGGGCCATGGATTCACAGGACAAGAAGCCTAAATAGATCACAATCCTTGGAGAGGTCACTCATGAGATCACAAAACCAAAATACTGAACTAGCTACTCACCTATTCTAGGGGGAGTAACCATGTGAGTGAATATGTCTTTGAAGAAATAGAAACAGGCTGTCACTATCAAAATCAAAGGCATTGTCCTAGCTGACTGCCATCTGTATCACCACCTTATCACCTTCAAGATCAAATATTGGCTCACCGGTTTGGTATTCAGATGTCTTCACAATTTGCCCAGCTCCTACCTTTCCAATTTTACACCTGACTCCTCTTTGTTCTAAGTTTTCTACAGTCCAGGTACACTGAATTAGAATTAGGAATTTCCCCCTCTTCCTCTTTAAAGGTAGTCCTCTGTCCCTATAAATGAATTTTCTTTGATCTACTTTAATGAAGCCCTATTCCCACAGGATCTCCTTTGCCCCTCCATCACATCTCTCCATCCTTCTGTGTAAACCTTTTCTCAAGTTTTAGAGTTTAACTTAAGATATTGGTTTATTTTATTTAGTTATTGAATTCTTTGATTCCCCAAGAAAGCCCCAAATGGGGTCACAAGGAGTTCGAAAGACCTATTCCCCCCTTCCTCTGCACTCACTTTCCACCTGTGAAAATCCTTCTTTTTCTTCAAGGACCAATCCAGTTGCCACTTACATAACTACCTCTGTTCCCCCCAGGTAAAAGGGATTTCTTCCTTCTCGAGTTTGTAATAACACTTTGGATCTCTCCTTGGTACTGAATATTCTTTGCCTTCTATCATAGTTTTTGCATCCATTTCCCCCCTTGAATTAGGTTGTAAGTGCTTTGAGGGGAGACTTTCTGTCTTATTTCTTTTCTTTTTTTTGGTATCCTAGGGTAGCGCCTTGCTGAGAGAAACTTAAGACGTATCTGTTGGAACTTAATTGAAAGGCATGTTTTCCAAGTAAACATCAAACCAGGGGAGGGGGAAAAAGACAACAGGTAAATTGCCATCCTGGCATTTTAAGGCAGCCAACCCAACTTGCAAGGTTGATCTGAAGGTTCAGTTTACGAGACACTCAGCCCAGGGGCAGCTAGGTGGCACAGTTCATAGAGCACCAGCCCTGAAGTCAGAAGGACCTGAGTTCAAATCTGGCCTCAGATACATGACACTTACTAGCTGTGTGACCCTGGGCAAGTCACTTAACCCTATTGCCTAGCAAAAACAAACAAACAAACAAGAGACCAGAATGTGGTAGTGGATATCCAATGAGAAATGCTGGAGGGCGGGGGAGAGATTTGTTAAATTGGCTCTCCAGGCCTCACATTGAATTGTTTTTATTTTTATCTCTTAAAAATTATTTTTATTTTTAATTTATGGAATAAAACAAGCATTTCTATAGCATAGCATAGTAAAAAAAGATTACATATGAAACTGCAAATCTACTAGGTACAATTTGCTATTCCTTTTTAATATACAACAAAATTAATATGTAAATTTCTTTTTCTCTCCACCCCCCCCCACTCCTGCCCTAGAATGGCCACCATTAGACACAAATAGGTCTATACATATGTAAAATTATTCTATACATACTTCTATTTATCAGTTCTAGAATTGTTTTAAAGAAGAAGACCATATGAGTCTAACACATGCTTTGAAATGCCATGTTTCCAATAAATGAATACGGGAAACACATCCTGACAAAAACATCCCAACAGACCTTTAGAGAGGCTGCTCAGGAAGCAGTCCTGCCCCAGGAATATGCCGAACAGTGGGTGTGTGGTGAGGTAGGTGTTAGAATAAGGGTAAAATTAACACTCTCTAGCAGGAGACTATGTCACGCTAATCACAGAATCAGCTGAGCGACTGCCAGCACTCATGCTGGAAGGGAAAAAAGGCAGAGCACATTCTTGACAGGAGAGCCCAGCTTAGAGACATTTCTGCCCATAGAGATAACTTGAGCTGTCTAAGAGAGGAGCAGATAAGCTTGAGAGGGCTAGAAGTATGTGGGGGATGGGAGCGGAAGGAGGTGCTAAGGAGATAGAAACATATTAGGGACATCAGCATCTCTGGAAAAATCAGCAATAACCTGTACCCAAGACAGAGCCAAAACTGTAGAAAGGATTCCCTTGGAGTGTTGGTGTCTGAGTTATGCAAGGACAGGAGGTGGCCTCTGGGGGGGCAGGGGACGCACAGAAGGCATTTCCCTGGGAATTCTCCCCATAGAAGGCCTCTGGGAGCTCTCCAGCTTAGGGATGGGAGTGTGGGTGAGCATCCTGACCTTGAGAATGATGACACAAATGTTTCCTATTGCACATGTATGCATGACCTTGATGAATGGATATTCACATATAAAGACAAATCCCATGACCCGTATTTTCAGTTGTTGCTCTGAATCGCCTTGAGGGCCTGGTAGGAGAATTTAAATAGGGTTAGACAGTTATGTGTTTCTATAAAGAAGTACTTTCTGATAATTAGCAACTTGCAGAACCTGGTTCCAGTTATGGGGGGGTTGGCTTAAAGACACAAAATCAACCAAGATTTTTTTCCTGCACATGGTAATGAGTGACATTTCTACATAGCTCTAAACTCTGTAAAGTGTTGTACATATCTGATTTGCACAGAGAAGGAAACAGGATCTGAATTTAAGTGACTTGCCCACGGTCACACAGCTAGTGATTGGGACCTAGGTCTTTCAGCCTCCAAACTAGGTACTCACGCCTTAAAACACACCTTTTTCTTTCAAACAAAAAAAATTATTGACTTTGTTCAATTAAGGAGAACCTTGGGCTTTTTTTTTTTTTGGAACTGCCAAGTATCTTCCTATAAATCTTGAATTTAATTTGCTAGGAGGGGGCCTTCTTCCTTAGGAAGGGACATGGATGTTGTATCATTTCAGTCATGTCTCTTCATGACCCCATTTGGGGTTTTCTTGGTAAAGATACTGGAGCAGTTTGCCATTGCCTTCACCAACCCGTTTTTTAGATGAGGAAACTCAGGTAAACAGACAGGGTTAAGTGATTTGCCCAGAGTCATACAGCTAGTAAGTGTCTGGGCTCAGATTTGAACTCAGGAAGGTGAGTCATCCTGACTGCAGGCTCAGAACTCTACCCACTGTACCACCTAGCTTCCCAGTGGTACCATCTATCCATTAAGAATGTAAATACTTCAAGTCCTGATTCCCCAACTGTTTTTTTCTAAATACACTGTGACACCTAGCTACCCTTAGAAAGGGACCTAGTACTTTAAATGACCCACATGTTACCCAGAAGTCTCATCATATAGTATGGGTATCCTTGTCTAATGAAGCTAATGGACCTCTTCTCAGAATGATTAAAATACACAAAATAAAACACATAGAGTTACAAAGGAAATCAGTGATACTATACTGCAGATATTAAATGTGTTTTTTTTATACCCAAAGACCTTGAGTGAAGAAATCTTGTTCTAGAGCCAGAGGATGCGGATTCAAATGCTGCCTTTGGTCCTCAGTTTTCTCATCTCTACAATGGGTGGACTGGACTAGCTGACCTTTGAGGCCCCTTCCAGATCTAGAGTGAAGCACCTTCAATCCTTTGTCACATTGAAGTTGGGCAGACTGACTATGCAACTGGTGTCAGGTCACAGTACCAGCCTAGGTTTGGGGATGCCTGTCATCTGCCAAATAATGGCTGTTTTAGGAGACAAAGACCATCTCCTGAAGTGGAGGAGTGAGAACCTGGCCTGGTGAAGGAAATACTCCATGTAGTATTCAAAGGTCTTTTGCAGTCCTGGAGTAACCTCTCACTACTAAGAAGTGCTGGTTGGTGTCTCTGCCTCATTCCCCCACTCCAGTTTACTCTCCACCCAGCTGTCACAGAGATTTTCTGGCCTGACCAGCACAGGTCTGACCATATCCCGTCTTCCCCTTTTCCCACCCTATCCCATTCAATAAACTCCAGTGGTTCTCTATTACCTCCAGGATCAAATACAAAAATCTCTCTTTTGGCCAAAACCTGGCCCCTTCCTACCTTTCTGGTCTTCTTATAACTTACTCCCCACTACATATATTTTTGCAATCCAGGGACACTGGATTGTTTGTATTTCATCTCCTGATTCCTAGCATTTTCACTGGTAGGGTCCCATGCCTGGAATGCCCTCCCTTCCCATCTCTGCCTCCTAACTCCCTTCGAGCCTCAGCCAAAGTCCCACCTCTGCCAACAAGCCTTCTCCAGTTCTCCTTAATCTTAGTGCCTTCTCTCTGTGATAATCTACAATTTATCCGGTATATATCTTGTTAAGATGTTATCTTCTCTATCAGATTGGAAACTCCTTGAGAGCAGGAGCCGGTTTTTTGTTTGTTTCTCTTTGTAGTTCCATTGCTTAGCATAGTGCCTTAATAAAGGCTTGTTGAATGACCCACATTCTTGAGTGTAAAGCATGGGATACCCAGCACTGAACTTGCCTTCTTTTCATTGACATCTAGTTGGTCATCATCCTCATTTCCCTCCACAGGCATGGACTTGAGCTTGTTCAGAAGCTCTGCCTTGGGTGCAGACATGTTATAGTAGGCAGGACAGTTGATCAACATTCCCACTCTTTCTTTCTCTGTGCTCCTAAATCACAAAGAATAAATACAAAAACATAGTCACGCCTATACATCAGAGGCAACGTCATTTCCCCTAAGTTGGCCATTTCATAATGATGAATTTTTATTCTAGTTCCAACTCCTTCCAGGCGAACTAGAATTAAATACTTAATGAATAATAGTCATGTTATATTTCTATATTTGGGGAGTATAAGAAGATTTGCTAATTGGCAAATCCAAAGTAGATTCGAGGCAGCAGAGATTCGAGGAAGTTCAAAGATACTATCTTAAGATCCAGGAGAACCCTTACTTTTGAGTTGACACAAACAAGGTTAAATGACCTACCCAAAGTCACTCGGCCAGTGAGTGATGGAACTGGTACTAGAACTGAGGGTTCTTGAGTAGTTCCAGGGCTCATTTCATCACACTATTTACCTTTTCTCTTTGCGTGGAACATTAGGCTGGGTGGGGGTCACAAGTCTTGCCTGTCCATCACTTACTACTTGACACTGGAGAAGTCATTTAGATTCATAAAATCATAAAATGCTTCATGGTTGAGAGTTTGCAGAAATCGTTCAATTCTGTCCTTGTGTTTGACAGATCGATAAAATGAAACCCAGAGGGATTAAGTCACTTGCACAAGGTCACACAGTTGCAAAGCTAGAACTAGAATCTGGGTCTCCTGTCTCCAAATCTGGGAGATTACCTTGGTCTAAGGACCCTTGCCAAATGGCTGGTGTCGGGGATCAGCTCCTTAAGATAGAGTTCATCAGTGACACTGAATTGTCCAAACTTTGGGGAGAGCAATCTGGAAGCATATAATAAAAGCTAGCAAGGTATTCATATTCAACATTGATATTTATTTTTAATTTATTTATATTTTATATATTCTCTTATATATTGTATTTATCTGTGTTTTTTATATATGCACATTTAATGCCAACTATGGGCAATTAAATTTAATCCTTTAGTTCTCTGATTCCATTTTAGGCAATATACCCTCAAGGGAATAACCTCCAATTGGGGGGGGGAAATCAAGTTCTTTGCTTTATTTTCTGCTTCTGTAACAAGGATAAGCATAATGAGTCCTCTCTATTTTATAGAACGGTTGAGAGGACATATAAAGCAACTGATAAGAAAGTGTTTCAATCTTTTTGGGAAGTAAGATGCTCAAGAAACTCAATTACAATTAAGCCTATGGCCGTTCTACAGTTGTCTACTGTGCTGTTACTGAGCAATACTTACTTGAGTTTACTTTATTAGCTAAGCCAAGTGCCCTACAAATACGGGAATGTTTCAACATGTTCAATTCTTGTTGTGGATTAAAAAAAAAATAACCTGCATGGGATGGATGTAAGACCTACTAATTCTTGGCTTAATGGAATGGGGGAGAGGGGCTTCATGACCAGGTCTAGGAATTGAGAAATCTTTTCTAGTCCCATCTGTATTACTCTCTAACCAAGCTACCTTTTAGACCACAAGCAAGATCCTACTGAAAGGAACAAACAATTCTGCCTGTATCAATTAGGCTGTTCAGTTGTTCTATCATGTCTGACTGTTTGTGATGCCATAGACTTGTCCATGTGGTTTTCCTGGCAAAGATATTGGAGTAGTTTGCCATTTCCGTCTCTAGTGTGTCCCCATTTTACAGATGAACAGAGGCAATAGGGTTTAAGTGACTTGTCCAAGGTCACACAGCTAGTAAGTGTCTGAGGCCAGATTTGAACTAGGATCTTCCTGACTTGAGGTCCAATGCTCTATCCACTGTACCACCTAGTTGCCCCTGTTACTTTTGGATAAATATGACCTTGTCAGCTTTTGTATTATTGAAGGCTTACTTCATAATCTGGCCTTGAAAGGTCTTCTAGTTAATTCCCTTGTATTTATGCTGTACCAGGCCAAATTGACATACATACCACTTACCATGACATATAGTAGGTGTTTAATAAATGCTAGTTACCAACAAAATAGCAATCCCCCCTCCACCCCCTGCAAACTAGCTTGTTGGAAAACAGGAGAAAATTAAACCATGCCTATCTGGTCTAGTTAACTTAAAACCAAGTTTTTCAGATATTTTATGTGACTGAATATGGTAGATTCTGATTTTTTTGATGGTTATAGAAGCTTACGCAGAAACATACAAAGTAAAATGCTTCCATCCACCAGTAGGTGGCACATGCCAGCCTTTTGCAAATTTCATAGCCTCAAGTCCTTGAAACAACAAAAAATGCATTAAAATTTCATTTGGGTTGGTAAAATCAAAATATGTCCTTCCTAATTCACCAAATTGAAAATTTTACTGGGAAACTCCTTTAAAGGGACTTCTTTTAAAAGAAAAATGTCCTTTCTGATAAATTCTTCACATTGATTATTAGTCATCATTACTGCAGTATAGGCTAGACCATTTATTTCAAAAATCCTAAAAGTAGGTAAATTTTTAAAGGATTACAATTATTTGGCAGCCCAAAACAATGTCTTTGTTTTAACTGAGTTCTTTGAATTACTGGATAGGATGATAAAATGGTGGTTGTACCGGCTCAGCTCAAACAGCTGCTTTCCCACCCTAATAGTTGCTAGTACTCCATAATTATCTTGCATTTACTTTGTATGTGTATACCTATCCATCCATCCATCCATCCATCCATCCATCCATCCATCCATCCATCCATCCATCCATCTATACAAATTAACAAACGCTTATTCCACTTTCTTTTCCCTTCCCACCTTTAACCAGTGTCATGTAGGTCTGCTATAGCTAGCTAGTATGCCTCTGGGAAACAGTCTAGTCTATGGTCACAGAACAGAGGTAAACACCCTGGCTATTATTAGGGCAAAACCTATGACTGACCATGTTCTAACTAGCATTTATAAGCTCATACAATGCCGAATAACCTTAGAAATAAGATACAGCTCTTTTCCAGGGGATTCATATTTCCAGTCAAGGCAGATGGCTTTCTGAAGTTCCTTTTCACTCAAAGATTCTGATTATTTTCCTTTCAAAATGCTATTATTTCTATTTGTTATTTAGAATGAATTGGAAATTTCTAATAAGCCAGCTCTTTTTGAATAAAAGACTATCTGCTTTTATTTAGTCTGAGATGTTTGCTAGATTTGTGAAACTACTTGTTTCCAAGTACCTAGCATGTCAAGTCATATAATTTTCATTGAAAGATCAAAAAAAAGGGAAAAAGAAAAAAAACACTTTAAATTGTTACTGCAGTAAAACAGTAATGAAAGAAAACAGACAAAAGAACATCTCATTGTCTTAGAGGGCTGATTGATCTAAGTAAAAGAAATCAAACGACTGAAAAATGAAAAGCAAGAGGTATCATTATGTTTGCCAGCAATGGGGTACAATGGGGTGCTATGGCTCACTCTCTAATGTTGCAAAGGCATTAAGCACGGCTCCTCATCAGCCGCCTCAGTTTGCTCTCATTCAGGACTTCCCAGATTTTCAGGGTGAGAAGACGCCTACATGATTAACCTGACCTTCCCCCAACTTTTTGGAGAAAACCACTGGTCTGGCTTTTTATTCCCTCCCCTTTTTTTACCCACATACTGAAATTCTTCATCTAAGCTACTTGCTACCTCTTTCTTTCTGAACCCATCTGAAGCTTTCTATCATGCCTTCCTTCCCCAGGAAACTCATCATTAGGAAAACTTATGCTGCAAGATCTCATCAGTAACCTCTGCCCTTATGAGCAGAGCCTTGAGTCTCTATCGGAAAGGGGTGCTCAGCACAGTCTTCTCTCCATTTCCTACCAGCTACACTGCTTTGGACCTATCCACCATGTGGAGGTTTTCTCTTGCCTTCCAACTCTACTTCCTGCCCTCCCTTCCTGTTTCCTCTTTTACCTTCCTTTTGTGTCATTTTGCCCCATTAGATTGTAAGCTCCTTAAGGGCAGGGACCATTTTGTTTTTATTTGTATCTGTATCCCTGGCACTTAGCACAGTGGTTGGCAAGTAGTAGGCACTTAACACATTTTTATTGACTGACTGTGCATTGAAGAGGGGGTGAATTCCCTACAGCCATGATGGAGCTGGCCGATGAAATGGACCCTTGGTTCCCAAAGGCTGCAGATCTAAGGAAGCTACATCTGTCTCTTTCCCACCTTCACCTTCTTTTTTCCCCTTCTCTTTTTAAACTGGACTTCAGGCTCCATGATGACAGGAACTATCTTTTATTCTACTGCTGTAATTGATAAATGTTTGTTGAATGAATGAATTTTACAGCACTCAGAGAGAAGCTTCCAAGGACAAAACATCATTATTGTATTTGGGCAAGGAAGGTATCTGTGGTTAAGATCTGGGCCAGTCACACATTGATTGATTCTAGGGTCTAGGCCAGGCAAGTGCCAATTGTCTCAAGAAACTGGAGTTTATTTGTAACACCTCAGGGTCCTAGCCTCTGAGCTAGAAGGGACCCTTCGAGTCATCCTATCCAACTCTCCTCATTTTGTAGATAAAAAAACCCAACTCCTGATTCCAAAGTCAGTATTCTTTTCACTATGCTATCCTGTCTCTTCTCAAAGGCACTACTGAAATTCTCATTTTTCAGAAGAGGAAAACAAAGTTGAGAAAAGCAAAATGATTTGCTCAAGGTCACTCAGCAAGTGTAAGAGGCCTAGTTTGGATAGAGGTCATCCTGACCCCCAAGTCTATTTCTTTATCCATCAGGCCACACTATTTCTTTCCTGCTTGCTAAGCCAACAGGTAAACTACATGTAAATCTAATGCTCATGGGGACTTACCTACTCCCTTCAGATACTGGGAAACTGACATTTCTCTGTATTGTCTTCTTCTGTGTATTGCTTTCCTTCAGGACGCTTGAGCCCTGTGGAAACAAACCTTCCATCAGGTCCATGGTAGTCTTCATTCTGGAATCTGGATCCAGAATAGCCGCTAGGGATTTGTCTTGGTGAACAATCTGTTTGGCCAGGGTCTCTCTTCTGATGTCCTCTGGAGTCTTCTCAGGGCTGGGGCTATCCTTTTCCAGTTCCTGAGTTGGGTTGCCCAGCTTTGGGATGAGACTTTGGGCCGGGGGGGGAAGCATCCGCTCTGGGTTACGCTGCTCCCCAGGAGCTCCAGTTGGCTGGTTCTGGGCATTGGGAGTGGATAATAAGTTTATCTGCTTAGCTCCTAGAGCCTTGATGGAAAGGCAGGGTCTGGAAGCTGGGGTTGGGCTGCTCCTTTGAGAATCTGCAGTCGTCAGCTTGGACAATCTGATGGAATTGCTGTGGAAAAGCAAAGGGATGAATGGTGAAGTAAGAGCTGAGGGCAAGTGGCTATGAGAAAAGTCAAGAAGGGACAGGGAGGAGGTGGCTAGGTGGCACAGGAGATAGAGCACTGGACCTGGAGTTAGGAGGACCTCAGTTCAAATCTGGCCTGAGACACATAACACTTACTAGCTGTGTGACTCTGGGCAAGTCACTTAAAAAAAAAAGGGATGGGGAAAGAGGGGCTCCCTTGAGGCTAGAGCTAGGCCAAATGGGTACAGGGAAATGACAGAGAAAGTGATTTTTTTCTCAACATAGACTTCACAATTGGCTCTCTCCTCAAACAGAATGAGCTGTTGTAAGTTCCCTACCCCTCCAAGTATAGCTCTAACCAGACTAAAATGCAATTGGGAAATATTTAACAAAATAAAAACAAAAATCAACATAGATAATGTTAATTTGTGATTTTCTAAGTCAACATGTAGCTTGTAGATATTCTTTTCTATTTCAATTTGATATCGCTTCTCTAGAGGATCTGTAAGTTTATTCATTTAAAAAAATTTTTATACCAACTTTGAGGTTCCCTAAGCTTCTAGGATCAGGGCTTTTTGTTTTGATGAGCTAGTAAGCATGGGGTTTCTTACCATGGACTTGTTACTTTAACTATTTTGATAACTATTTTAATATAATCAGTTTTCTTTGTAATCTTGTGTGTCTTATTTAAAACACAAAATCTTTTTTTATAAAACATTTTTCTGAAAAGGGGTGTTAGATTGCCCGAAGGGTACACCAAACAGGTGAAGAAGCTATAAGAAGCTGGCTGCTTGGACGACTTCATTTCCTTAGGGATTAGAAACTCTTGACTCATTTTCCTCCTCAGTAGAGGAGTTGCAAACTACCAAAAGGAAGTTAAATACCTTTCCCCAAACTCTATCAATGAGAATGTAGTTGTGGCATTCTTGCTTCTGAATTTCCAGGACCCTTAGTATGGGTAAACCAATGCATGATAGTTGAGTCAATCTACTGTTGATGGATTCACACTGGGCTTGGTTCTTATTTCAACTAGATCACCTGTCCAAGGAAAGAGAGATCACTCCATGGGTTGGTTTCTTCTGCTCTCTGTTGTCCCTCTTTACAATGACCAAGCCCTCTGGAAGAATGGAGTTGGGTCACTGTTTGGAAAGGCTCCATTGGCAAACAGTGGGACAACGCTAATGACTTCTCCCAATTTAGTACATTCTACTCCAAATTAGCCTATCTTGTGGACATTGGAAGGAACATTGACATGAGTTAAGAGTCTGAGGAGGATCTCACACAGTGTGGAAAACTCATCTGTCCTCAAGGCATGGCCAGAATTCTCCTCACCTGGTACAGGTCTCTCCATAAGTATCATTTCTCGGGGTCTCCAAAGCTTCATCTGTAATTAGGGGAGGGGGAGGAGGAAACTCTTCCAGGCTGTCCCCTGGTGCCTTCAGGTCCACTGGAGGAGGTGAAGGGGGTGGTTGTGGAGGTAAAGTGGACAGAGTTTTAGAAGTGGGGCTGGAAGTGGAATTGGGTCCTGAATCCTGCACAAAGACCTCGTCATCACCTTCCTCCTGAGAGGATGAGACGGCCTGAAAGGCTGACTCACATATTCTGGGGGCGGCCTTTCCAGGCCCACTGAAGAGTCCTGGGGGACTGTTGGGGTTGGACGCTGTGCTTGGGCTGGGTAGACTCTGATGTTGCTGATAGTGCTTCTGACTTGGTGCCCCAGAAGATGAAGACTGCTCCAATGAGTTGTCCTCTCTGAGCGACTGGGCCCATTTCACTCGAGGGGGAGGAGGCCTCTGAGGTAGAGGGCCCTTATTTTTCTTCATCCCATTTTCAGTTAAACTCTCAAGGCAGTTGTCCTCAAGGTCTCTTGGACTCTGGGGCTGTGCCAGGATGTGACCATTACTTCTGAGGCCAGCTACAGGTGTGTCCATGGGAGATGGCTGCCTCCCAACCAAGACATCTCTTTCAGCACGTGGGTAAGGCTGGGGAAAGTAGGTGGAGTTGGCCCCAGAGTCCTGAGCTGATTTAAAAGGGTTCATCTGTGAGGATTTTGTGTCCACGAAATGACCTTGCCTTCCTGCTGCTGGTGGCCCAAAGGCTGGAGATCTGCTGGTAGACCCTTGAGGCTCTAGGGTCCTGGACGCTTCCATGAAAGCAGATGACCCATTTGGTACTTTGTGAGACCCTGGGCGATGTGGAAGGGATGACATCTCTTCATAGCTTCTTTCCGAATAACTGAATTGCCTGGAGTAAGATACAAACACATGAGCAGCAAATGTGAAACATGAAGGCAAGAGCTGAGCAAAGGATGTATCTCATAGACAATCAAAAGTATCTGATGGTTAAGAAGGCTCTCAGAGAAATGGCACCATTTCCTCTAATCTCTCATAGGAAGTCAACTATCTTTGCAAAGCCAGGTCAGAGACAAGCAATAGATTCTACAGGAAGAAGCTTACGAGGCATTTCCTATTAGGTCAAAAACAGCACTTGAGGGGATTTTAAGGATAAGCTATTAAGGAGAGAAGTAGAAAAATGGGCTGGCTAACTCTTAGTAGGGGTTTAGAAGGTAGCTCCTTGGTCTATGAGCAGAGAATGGAACGGTTTGCTGACATCATTCCTCTTCAAAATTTGTGTGTGTGTATGTAAGTATACACATACTATATTATATATTATACATATATTACACACACAATTTTTCTTGGGAAAGAAGGCTTGGCTAGAAAAATATTTGTGTGGGGTTGGTAAATTTACAGCTTTTATTTCAAGATTCTAATACATTCCTAATCTTATTCTTCAAATATGGAGAAAGGAGTTTTTGGTCTTTAAAAATGTGTCATTGAAAGGAAAGGGGGGAGAGGGGAAGAGAGAGAGAGAGAGAGACAGAGAGAGAGAGAGAGAGAGAGAGAGAGAGAGAGAGAGAGACAGAGAGAGAGAGAGACAGAGAGAGAGAGAGAGAGAGAGAGAGAGAGAGAGAGAGAGAGAGGAGAAGAGAGAGAGAGAGAGGGAGAGAGGAGAGAGAGAGAGAGAGAGATCCTAAATTGTCTTTGCCAAAATGAGATTTCTGGCTGGGGTCTCCGATTCTAAGGAGGGAGCTATTAATGCATTTTTACAACTTTCCAGGGAAGAAAGAAAGTGAGTGATGGGGTCACCTGCCATCTCACCAGCATAACATATTGCAACCATCATTATTCAAAGTGCAAGATGCTCTGGGAGTGGACAATTTCATCTCTTTTACTGCTTATGGGATTTTGAAGACTATGAAAAATGAGTATTTTGAATAGTATTTTAAAATATTATTTGTCTTCCCATTTCTTCCTAAACATGTTTCTCTGGCATGAGAAATACTTTCACTCTGAAAATGTTTTTTAATGTCATTTTTCCTTTGAGGCTTTTGAATTTGTAGTTAAATTTAGCTCTCAGCTTTTCTTACTGTTTTCTGGAAAGAATTTGGGGAGATTTCATAATTTTGATATACGATCTGTGAGACACTCCCTTTCACTAGTTTTATAGTCTGGTTTTAAAAATCCTATTACTGTTTTTTGGTTTTTATTTTTGGGTAGATTTTTGTTTTGAATTTCCCCCCCAATGTCCTGTAGTTAACTCCTCTATAAAAATCAACCCACTGCATTCCTATGATGAATATAGATTTAAAGGTTTGCTATTCAATGCTGCCAATAATGCAGTACATTAAAAAACAAAACAAAACAACCCTTTATGGCTATGCTGATTGCGAGTTTAATGCAGCAGCATAATTAGATATGAATTATGAGTATATCAATGAGGTTCTCCAAAAGTAAAAAAGGTAGCAAGGTTCCCCTAAAGAGGTAGGGAATAATTACTTCTAGAAAACAAGATTAAAGAGCAGATAATATGTGGTGATTTGTAGGAGGAGTAATTTTTTACTAAAATGCTGTACAGGAATTAATACCAAGATTGGATAGGGGAAAGGTTCCAGTAAATTCATAGATTGTAATGTGCAAATTCCCTAAGGGTAGTTGATTATCTCAATGAGGCCGAAGACAAAGAGAGCTTCATATTTGCACACTTGACTAGGAGCTTCCAATAAAATGTAGGCTCCTTCCCCAATGAGTGGTCTACATTAGAGAAATAAGCAATGATCTTTAAAAATCATCAGATGCCAAACATGAATAATACCGAAAGAGGCAAGAAAAAATACCATAAGAAGCCTTCAACTATATGCAATCTGGGCTTCTTTTGTTGTTTTTAAATACCATTGGTGGACCACATGTTTGTAATGTATGAGATCTGACAGATCAGGTGTTAGATGCAGACCTCCTAAGTCAATTTAATAGACTCTTTCTGTGGATTCTCATCGAGTGAGAATAGCTTGTCTGTTGCTGCCGGTGGCTTTCAAAATTTACACTATGCTTTGTGGACAGTCCTTATCTTTGAACCATCATAGTATCCTCATCTGATATGGATCCTCAGGGCTTGCCATGTCTAACCTAGTTTTTAAAATTAGACTTCTCCAGCAGGATAGTAATTGAAATTGTAATCTGATGTTTAATGATGCAAATCTTTTTAATTAACTTCATTATGCTACTTATATCCTGAGGCTTCTTAGAGAGATGTACCAGTATAAAACAGGCAAAAAACCCCCAAACATTAATATTAATCTTTCAGATATCCAGTCTAAGAAATGATAAATATGAAAATTTCAGGGAAGCATGAGAAGATTTATATGAATGGGTATAATGTCAAGTAGGTAGAACTAAGAAAACAATATATACAATGACTATAATAGAAACTGGAAAGAACAAAAAGTCATATATCCCAAAGATGTCAGAAGACAGGGGAAAAGACCAATATTCCATGCCTGGAATTTTCTCTTTCCTCCTCTCTGCCTCCTGGATTCCTTCAAATCTCAGCTAGAATCCTACTTTCTGCAAGAAGTCTTTCACTGAATGTTAGTGCCTTTCCTCTGTTATCACCTCCATCTTCTCCTATCTATGTCTTTTCATACATAGTTGCTTGCATGTTTTATTACCTATAGCATTATGAGCTCCTTGGGAGAAGGGACTATTTTTTTTGTCCTTTCTTTGTGTCCCTAGTGCCTAGTACAGTGTTTAGCACATAGTAGGTGCTTAATAAATGCTTGTTAACTAACTGCAATGACCAATCAGATGCCAGAAAATTGATGATAAACAATGGTTCCCACTTCTTGGCGGGAAAGTAATGGACTAGAGGTAGAGAATGAGTCAGTGAGGTGGTGCAGCAGATACAGTGCTGGACCTGGAGTGAGGATGAGCTGAATTTAAATCCAAACTCACACACTTACTAGCTGAAGGACCCTAGGCAAGTCACTTGGCCTCTGCCTGCCTCAGTTTCCTCATCTGTAAAAAGAGGATAAATATCACCTACCTTTCAGAGTTTTTGTGAGGATGAAATGAGATGTATTTTTAAAGTGCCATGTAAATACTAGCTATTATGTTTTCAGACATAGCCAATGTGTGAATTTGTTTTTGTTTGACCATATTTATCCATTACTAGGGAGAATGTCTATTGGGTTGCTGGGGAGTGATAATCATGGAGAAAAGAAAAAAAGGGATGTAAATGGAATATTTGAAAATCCAGCTAAGGGAACAGACATTCAGAAAGGGTGAGAGAAAGCAGGGCAGTTTTGTTATTATTGTGTTAAATTTAACAACTAAAAAACTAGATAATTGCTCTCACAATTTCATATACAATCATCCCTTTTTGTTCTTTGTTTTTCAAAAGGTTCAGGTTTATTGATGTCTGTCTGGATCATAATAAAAATAATTTTTTTTAAAGAAATGAAGGTTATGCAAAGAAAGGTATAAACAATTTTTAAACAAAGATTCAGCCTAATAAATATCAATTATTTATATGATCATTTTAGTCCACTCCACTATGCTTGTTGTTTCTTACTGAGAAAAAATTTTAAATGCTTATTTTTGAAAGTGTCAAATAGTTTGAGCCAATGGTTACTCTGGAATAGAGAGAAGGAAAAATAAACCTTTCATAACGGCCCACTTTGTAGAAGGGTGCGAATGGCCCCCACACCTCTTGCACGCTATCAAAATCCCAAGGAGTCTGAGAACTGGAAGGCTTTTTGTAGGTCAAGGAGTCTAGCCCTTGACTCCAGACAAGATGACCCTGAAATTGTCCTTCTTTTCCCTCCCACTTCTCATTTTCCATCTTACCTCTTGTTGATCCTGATAGACTCTCAAAGAAAGGGCTGAGCCTTGACCAGGGATGAAAGATTAGCTAGCACATGCCTCACCCTGAGTACTGCAGCCGGAAAGACAGCTTTGAGATGAAATTAATCCTGGTTAAGGCAGCAAGAAGAATCTTGGAATGCTGCTCTTGGCAGACTGGCAGGTAATGTAATAACCTGCTTCCTGTTGGAGGGCATTGCAGAAAAGACTAATATAAACTGGGAAAGTGAATAATAGCTGTTGAAATATGGAGCACAGCTGTGGAACTGGGATATAAATCAGGAATAAAAGTGACAAGAGGATTTTAATTAAGTAGCTTGGAAGCAAACAAGCATTTATTAAGCACCTACTGTGTGCTAAGCACTCTGCTAAGTGATTTACAGATATTACCTCATTTGATCCTTAAAACCTGGCAGATAGGTGTTATTATTGTTATACTCATTTTTACAAATATGATCATATTATTATCCTCATTTTTACAAATGAGGAAACTGAGGCAGACAGTGGTTAAATGACTTGCCCAGGGTTACACAGCTAGTAAGTGCTGGAGGCCATATTTGAACTCAGGTCTGACTCTAGATCTGGTCCTCTATCCATTATGTCACCTCGCTGGCTCCCTAGGGCAGCACACGCCTATTCTTTTTTGTTCTTCATTCTCGAAGAAGACCATGACATCAAGAAGGGGATGCCATGACTAACAAATGAATTGGATTTAAGTGAGGTAGGGCTGTGCTAGGTCACCAGCCTCACTTTTTCCTCAGGAGCCATCTGGGTCCAGTGGCAAATAGCAGCTACAAGGGAGACTGAAACTACAAGATGTCTAGAGGTCTAGCCCCAGCGGGCGCCAAGGTGATTGGGTGTCCATACTTAATTCAGCATTAGTATGACGAGCCTTAGGAGGGATGAACCAGCCCAAATCACTAATGGAGCAAATCAAAGCTGCCATGCTGATCTGAGTAGCTTTCCGCATCCCCCCTCCACCATTGAGATATGGACACATTCCTCAACCTCTCAGTGTCTCAAACAACAATCTTAAACTTGCCTGACCTGCACCAGAGGACCAAATTTCCCCACCAATGATATCATGAGTGCAGACCAAATGCCAAAAAAATCAGAGCCAGACCACATGGGCTGGCTCTATTGTGTGTCACCAGAACAGGCAAATAAATTCCCTTTGGAAAAAAAAATAAGTAAATCCTCTTTGGAAGTTTCTACTTAAAATGTTGTTTATTTCTGAATCTGAGATATTCAGATCTCATCTAGATGTCTATTATGTCTCCTTTCCAAGAATGGAGGCAGCTAGGTGGCACCACAGTGCATAGAGTGCTGGGCTGGAGTCAGGAAGACCTGAGTTCAAATATGACCTCAAACACTTACTAGCTGTGTGGTCTTGGGCAAGTCACTTAACCTGTTTACCTTATTGCACTGGAGAAGGAAATGGCAAACTGCTCCATGGACAGTATTGGCATGCTATGCTCCACAGAATGACAAAGAGTCAGACAGGACTGAATGACTAAACACCAGCAATGAAGACCCTGGGCAAGTCACTTAACCTCAATTGCCTCAGTCTCCTCAACTTTAAAATGGGGTTCATAATAGCACCTAACTTCCAGGGTTGTTGTGAGAATTAAATGAAATAATATTTCTGAAGAACTTAGCCCAGTGTCCAGTATATAGTAGGCACTTAATAAATCCTTATTGTCTTCCTCCTTCTGTGAAAGGATTTTTGATAGCTAATTCTTTGAAAAACAAAGCAACCTGCAAACAATATTAAAAAGTGTTTATTCTCTTCCTTTTCCTCATCAAAGGATCTTTGATAGTTAATTTGTTGAAAAACAAAGCCACATTCTCCAAACTCCACTATTCTAGGATTCCAGAAAGTCTGCCTCTGAGGTAATTTTCCATTTCTAATTTTTCTATTTCAGTGCATCATTTTGTGGACTAGCTTATGAAGGGTTTCTTCTCACAAGATTTCCTTCGATGTGATGTGATACTCTTGGCATGAAGTCAGTGAGAATATAAGACTTCCTTAGGACAGAGTGGAGAAGAGGAACCTGTCCTGACACCAGGACTGTGACCTCAAGGAAGGGAAAAAGCATTTAGTAAGTGCCTACTTTGTGCCAGGCATTGTGCCAAGCTAATTACAAGTATTATGTCAAGGCCGACCCCCTAAAAGCAAACACATTTTCTTCTAAGGGTATCATACTCAAACCCTAATGTATAATTACTCATAGAAAAAGCATAGAAAAAAAGCAAAAAGAAAAGGTATGCATGTGTTTAAAGAAGTTCAGGCAACACACTGGCTACCATGTATAGGACTGGCAAAATTCATGGATCCTATCTCGTTTGGTTATGGAGTTGGGGAAGAAAAGTGAGTGAGAGAGAGAGGAGAGATGAAGACAGAAAGAGGGGGAGAGACAAAGACAGAGAAAGACAAAGAGAGAGACAGGCAGAGAGGGAGGGAAGGACAGAGGGAGAGAGAGAATGAGACAGAAGACAGAGAAGAGATAGAAACAGGGGGAGGGAGGGAGGAAGAAAAGAAGGGAGAGAAAGGAGAGAGAGAGAGAGAGAGAGAGAGAGAGAGAGAGAGAGAGAGAGAGAGAGAGAGAGAGAGGGAGAAAATAAGGGAGACAGAAGAAAAGGGAGAGAAATAGACACAGAGGCAGAGAAGAGAGTGTACCAAGAGCTGTGCCTACCTGGATCCGGCGCCAGCCACGAAGGAAGGAGCCTTTCCCAGAAGACTGTAGTCACTGTTTCCTCTCAGAAATGTATCCTAAAACACAGAAGGATCCCAGCATCACTGACCGGCCCAGAGGTTCCTTCACAGAACGAGGTCGTTCCTTAGGAAGAGCCTGTGCTAATCCCCTGACAGCCAAACACTGAGCTGAGTTAGTTGTGAAGTTTGCCCTGTGAGCCCCAGCCCAAATGTTAAATGTGATCTTTTGTTTTCTGAAGGCTTTAGGCTCTAAGACAGTGTGAATGTCTGAAGCAGCAGGAGGGAAATATGGGAGACAGGTGGGAGAGGCAGGTAACACACCTGTATTTTAAAACAAGCAAAACCTCTCAAATGAAGTAAGTTGTATCCAGTTCAGCAAAGTTAGGAGGATTTTGGCCTGATAATTAGAATGAAGGGAATTCCCTTTGGGAATTCCCCATCTGATATCACTGCCCCTCAGTAACACAGGATCATAGTCTTAGAATGGGAAGAGACCATTAAGTCTAACCCCTCCTCATCCCCATCTTCATTTTACAACTAAGGAAACTGAGACACTGAGTGATTAAGTGGCCTATCCAGGGTCACACAGCTAGTGAGTATCTGAGGTAAGATTCGAACTCTATCCTTCCTGCCTTCAGGTCCAGGGCCTGCTCCACTATACCACTCTGTGTACCTTGTTTGGCAGGTGTATTTAGATGTCAGTATTTTGAAAACAGTATGATTCGGTGCTTGGAATCAGGCTTGATTATGATAATGACGTTAATATCCTCCTTGTCTTTGACTTTGCTGAGATGAAAGCCATATAATGATCCCTCCTTTTCTCACCTCAAAAATTCTTTATTTACACATTACTGCACTCTCCTCATTAACTTTGGCCGAACTTCTGAAAAGTGGCTGAGTCCTCAAAAGCTGAGAAAATTCTACTTAATTACTAATACTCAGGGAGGTACAGATTCATGGGGCTTAAAATTAAATTAGCATCCAGAAATGTAGACCACCCACTTTCTCATTTTAACTGACAGGTAGTTTCTGTGAGGTCATTTACATCTCTGATACGAGGGGCAGCTTGGGAGCACAGTGGATAGAGTATAGGGCCAGAAGTCAGGAAGACCCGAGTTCAAAACCAGCCTTAGACACTAACTAGCTGTGTGACCCTGGGCAAGTCACTTAACTTCTATTTGCCTCAGTTTCCTCATCGCAAAATGAGCTGGAGAAGGCAATGGATAACCATTCTATTATCTTTGCCAAGAAAACTCCAAATGGGGTAATGAAGAGTTGGCCCTGACTGAAAAATAACTAAACAACAAATACTAATAATACGTGTCCCTTAGACTCTTCATAAAAACTTCATGAAATGATGTCAAAGGAGCCCTCAGGCAGATTACATCTATAATCAATGTAATGTGAATAAATAAGATAGTTATGTTGAAGAACAAATTCTTCTTTTAAATGTATTAACCATGAGCCGAGGATTTAATGAAAGTCAATCTGGAGCTGTATCTCTTGTGGTTTAGATTCATAGAAGGGAAAACAGGTATTACGTAAATTCCTAAATATCAAGATACAATCACTGGTGTGGTGATCGAGCTGTTTTGGGGAGAGACAGTTGAATCAAAATGGAATCTTTCATTAAAAAATAACTTCTTTCTGGCTACAGAGCCATGAAGCCATAATTTAAATGAGATTTCCTTATGGTAGAGAGGCCAAAACATTGCTCTCTTTGGCTTCTGTGGCCACATTGCCCCTATGATTTCTATTCCAGGGTCTCTGGCTGAAGTTGGGAGGAATGTGGAGTTGGAGGATTTAGGTGTGAATCCTTCTCTGCAGACTGCTGGGCTTCAGTTTCCTCAGTTATAATAAAATGATGGGGTTGGGTTAGATGACTGATAAGGTGCCTTTCTGCTCTCGATCTATGATCCTAGCAAAAATAATTTTTGTTTTCTTGTATGAAAAGGAAATGGGGGCAGAGTGAGGGAGGAAACTGAGGTCATTAGTAGTTTATTCTATAGGGACAGGTACTACACATTCCCATGGGTAGAGAGGTAGGATTGCACATACCTGACATTTCTTAGTTGAGACAGGGGACGACCTGGACCTCGAATGGAAAGGGACAGTCTGGACATCTGACCTGTCGAGCAGATCTTCGGCCGACATGGACTTTCCCGCCCCCCTGGTTGGGGTTACCAGGGCAGATCGCTTCTCATGGGCCCAGGCCACTTTCTGTGGGTGAGTGGGCTGGCCATTGGCCTCTCCAAGCCAATCCACTCTCGCTGACTCCCTCTTGGGAGGCCAGTACCTTTCAGCATGGAGAAAGCCACTGGCAAAGGAACTGCTCCTATCTCGTGGCACGCCCCGCATCTCGAGGCTGCTTCTGTCTGTGTTTCCCACCAATTCTGTGGGCAGGGTGGCAGACCCTCTCCTGGGAAAGGGGTTTTGCTCCTGCAGGGAATTCATGCTTGGGGCCGCAGCTAGGCTGCGGCTCTCCCGTCTGTGACTGGCCGAAGGGGATGGCCTCTTCCCGGTTTTGCGTTGAATATAGTCAGCCAGGGCAGTCTGCTGCAGCTGCTTCAGCTCAGGCCTGGAGAGGTTGAGTGTGGAGCAAGCTTTCCCTTCCCTCTCAAAGATGCGGCGCCTGTCTGCCACCGTGTTCTCTGGGAAGCCAAAAGGCAGGTCCTTCCTATGGGGATAGCAAGCAGGCGACTCTCCTGCCCCGGATACCCCTACTTCATTCATCTTCTCAGGCTCTGAATAGGAACGCTTCTTTTGTTCAGCTGTCAGTCTCTTCCGGCCTCCAATGCGGGCCACCAGGGGCATGGAGTCTTCCCTGGGTGGGCTCCCCTCGGCTGGAGTGATGCTATGTCGTTCCTTGGGGATATGAGGTGAAGCAGGCATTGCTGTTATTTCTGGGCTCCTTGGCCCCAAGTGGGCAGAGGCTGGCCTCTGCCTTGCCTGGGATGCTCCATGGGGACCCAGGTCAAGATCCCGGCGTCGGAATGAAGTGGCTCCCAGCACGCGGGACTGAGCATCCTTGATACTGTTCCGATAAGCCTGGTTTAAGGGGACCTCCAGAAGTGGTGACTCAGGACTACTAGATCTACCTTCTCTCCACAGGGTTTCCTCCTCTACATTGTTGGAAAGCTGGAAGGTGCTCTGGCTACGTTGGAGGACAAAAGCGTTTCTGAGTGGCTTGGGGTCTGGGTGTGTGGGTCCATATCCACCATTTCCAACCCTCCTCAGCTGATGCTCAGCTGGATGCCAGGAAACCCCTTCAGGTTTCTTCTTACCCTCTTTGACCAGGCTCCCTCTGATACTCAGAGAACCAAAGGATGGACTTATTTCACCATGGGGGTCTTCAAGGCTGATCGTGGAGCTTCTGTTGCTGGGTGTCTGTTCCAGCTTGTTGGTCCTGTAGATGTAGCTGCTCACGCTTGAGGGTCTCCGAGTCTCTTGTTCACGTTGCTCAAACTTACTGACCTTCTCCAACACAGAGCAGTGGGGTTTCCCATAATGAGAGGTCGGGACGGCATTGCCTGAACTACGTCGCCTCCGGCTTGGGTTGGACGCCTGCCCGGGGGCCTCATGCCTTGGTTCAGGATTATGGAAACGGGGTGGCCCTTTAGGTCCTCCCTCAGACCTCACATGGGAAGCCTGCCAGTCTGAATGGTCCCATCGTTCCAGAACCGACTTTCTGGGCTCGTGTTCCATTTTGCTCATGTTGATCCGACAGGCGGGTCGACTGTCAGGGTTTCCCTCCTGGGGTTCCATTTGTATCTCTAGACTATCTCGCCTTCTGGTGCTTTTGGAAATAGTCTGTAGAGATGAAATATTTGAACTTGCTTGGTCAGAAGTGCTCCATGAGTCCTCGGCGAGGCCTTCTCTTTCTGGTCTTGGTTGGAGGTGGCCGTTTTGAGACTCCTGGAATTCGGCCCTCCTGGGCTCAGAAGATCTGAAAAGTGGCTTGCCTTCATTGACTTCCTGCAGGACCTGCGGGATGTGATGGTTGCAGTGCTGCACCCTGTCATGTAGGCTTTCTCTCCCATTGGGGAGAGTATTGTTACCTTCTGAAATCCTTGGCTCATCTTTCTGCAGGGAGGTGCCCCTGAGATTCTCAGGCTCTGATGGAAAATGTGGCTTATATGGGGAAAACTTGCCTGTGGTTTCTGGCTTCTCCACCAGGGAGGGTGAGGTATACTCTGGTGCCTGGTAAAAGATAGCGGCAGATTTACTGGGGCCATTTTGATTGCCATTCTCAAGAGCTGCTTTCTTCTCACAAGTGCTCAGGGGAGCAGTATAGCCACGTTCCTTGGTGAGTGCTGGGCATAACATCCCATTACTGCTCCTAGAAGGCTGAGGCATCTGGGCAAAGTGTGGTTCAGGTGAAGGTACAGGGTAGACGCTGGTAGGCAGCAGTGGCTGGCCTGGTTGGGTCGCTTGGGTATAGTTTTGCTTGGGCTTCACTGGAGGACTATTCTCTGGACTCTTTTCCAGGAGAGTGTGTAAATGTTCTTCTGGAAATGAAGTCTTTAGGGATCCGGGGAAGCTTGATTGGGACCGGCCGTACCTGTTGTGCTCAAGGCTAGACCAGGAGCTGGGCCTCTCATAATGCCTAAGAACTCCAAAGCTGCCATTCCGAGTTGGGGGCAAGGGAACACCCACTTCGTGGGGTAGGTTGTTAGAGTTTGTCTCATGGGAACTGCAGTATTGTTGGTTCCAAGGTAGCAGTGGCATCCTACCACCTCTGGGATGACCATGCCACCTTTCATACTCCTGACCATCCACTGATCCCTGGGATTCTCCACTGGGGACAAGCAGTGCTGAAGAGTTCACCTCGTACTCTGCGGAGATGCCTCGCTTGGTATCATAGACTGTCTTGACATAGCGGATGTCAGCCTGTCTCATTCCTTCCAACGTGCTGCGCTGGGCGGGTGTTGTGGCCACTGTGTCAGAACACGCCTGGGCAGAGATGCTGGTGGTGGGATACTCGAGGATGCTAGAACTGGTGGAGAAGGAACTATAAGCAGAGTCTCTCTTGTTGTGGAGGTGGGTAAGCTGATCAATGCTACTGGTGGACTTGGCAGGGGAGAGGAGGTGGCATGGAGGGTAGCTCCCACTGTGGTCCAGACTCTCCATGCTTCCCTGGGAGCTGTACTGATCGGGGCTCCTTCTCGGATAAGCATGGCTATAGTTAGAGACATCACTTGTAGAGGAGCTAGAAGGGAAAAGAGAGAAAAACAATTAGTAACACAGGAGATTTATGATTTAGCAGACTCAGAAGCCAGCTCTCAAAGACTCTTTGGGGCAGCTAGGTGGCACAGTGGATAGAACATTGGCCCTGGAGTCAGGGAGACCTGAGTTTTGAAATCCAGCCTCAGACACTTACTAGCTGTGTGACCCTCACCCTTGACTGCCTCAAAACGAAACAAACAAAAATACACAAAACAAAACAAAGACACTTTTTTTTAAGGCAATTGGAGTTAAGTGACTTGCCCAGGGTCACACAGCTAGTAAGTGTCAAGTGTTTGGTCAGAGGCTGGATTTGAACTCAGGTCCTCCTGACTTCAGGGCCAGTGCTCTATCCACTGTGCCACCTAGCTGCCCCAAAGACACTCTTTATTGTATATATATATTTTTAAAGAATTCAATAGCCCATAGAAATCTTTTCTTATCGGGATATGTGGGAAAAGGTATAAGAAAGAGGACCAGTCAAGTGTACCTGTATGACCTCATCTCGTCTTCTGTGAGTTATTTTCACTTAATCATTTTCCTTAATCAATTTTCACTTAATTTTAGTTAAAAAGGACTCATAACTCACACTGAGTGAAGCAAGCAGAAGCAGGAGAACATTGTACACAGTAATGGCAACATGGTGCGATGATCAACTATGATTGACTTAGCTCTTCTCAGCAATGTATCAAGGATCTAAGACAATTCCAAAAAGACTCATGACAGAAAATGCTGTCCACATCCAGAGAAAGAACTATGGACTCCAAATGCAGATCGAAGCATGCTATTTGCTCTCTCTCTCTCTCTTTTTCTTTCTTGTGGTTTTCCCTTTCATTCTGATTCTTCTTTTATAACATGACTAATGTAGAATGTAAGCTTCTTTAGGGAAGGGACTATTTTGATTTTGTCCTACGCCTCGTATAGGTATACAGTAGGTGCTTAACAAATGTTTGTTGAATTATTGAATCTTTGCATTGGGTTTTCATTTTGAACCCCTTGAAAAACATTTGTATACTCATGATATAAACAGTATTGTGGCATCAGGTCTCACTAAAAACGTTTCATATGCAGTTGTTTGTGTACTGTCTTCCCTATCGGACTCTCCTTGAGAGTAGCCCCAAAACCTAATACAGTTCCTGAAACAGAGTAGGTTCTTAATAAGTATTTGTTGATTAACTGATCTGATAGAGGGAGTATTAAAGGATAATTTCAGTGAAATCCCAAATATAACATAGCTCATAGGCACTCAGCTTTCCCCTCTGTATGCATATTCTTCTCATTGTCTTTAACTTCTTGTCCTCCAGCCCCCCACTGCACCTTCCTCACACCTTCCCCTTCCTGCAGCTAAGTCCTGGAGCCAGGGCTAGGGTTTGGTAAAGGAAGGATGATGAGCATCCACTGACATGGCAGCTAGCCCACTAGATGCCACTGGTGTGCCTTGGAAATGTGCCTGGTAAACACATACAGCTGGGTTCCAAGCAGGCTGGGATGGGGCCATCTGCCAGAATTGCCATTGCCATCATAGAAAGCCTTCGGCATGAAATGAATGGATTACAGGATGATTTGTGTGGGGTGATGGGAGGAACACAGATTTCTACTGTAGCTTTTGAGGTAATGTGAGCCTTTCTTTCTTTAACCCACCCCACATGGCGCTTTTGAGCTGACAAGTTGTTGTATTAAGAAAAATGTTCTAGCAATGGATGGGCAGCTTGAATGAGAAGGGTCAGAGGTGATAGGGAAAGTGGGGGCAGGGGCTCATGTCAAATCATCTCCAGATTTTGGGGAAAAAGGAAAATGAGAATTCCCCTCATGTCCCTCTGCCTTTCCTTCTAACTGACCTGTAAAGGAAAAAAGTTGCACCAGATCAGAGATTCTCAACTTGGGGTTCATAGACCCCCCCAGGGGTCCATGGATAGATTTCAGGGGATCTGTGAGTGTAGATAGTAGAAAAATGACTAGCCTCTAACTGAAATTTACCATTTCCTTCAATAATTCAAAAACATTATTTTGGGAAGGGGTCCACAACTTTTACCAGACTGCTAAAGAGGTCAATTACATTTAAAAAAAAAAGATTAAGATGAACTAGATTTATGTCCAGTCTCTGATACATAGAAGTCACTTAACCTCTCACTGTCCCAGAAAATGCCTGAAGACTATAAGATGAAGAAAAGGTGGCTCATCTGACCCAGGAGAGGGAGGCTCTTCCCTGAGAATTCCCTATAGCAGACAAATCACAGATTCTATTAAAAAAAAAAGGGCTATAAACGCAAGCTATCCAAGTGGTGCAGTGCATAGAGTGCCTGGCCTGGAGTCAGGAAGACTTATCTTCCTGAGCTCAGATCTGGCTTCAGATACTTACTAGCTGTGAGACCCCAGGCAAGTCATTTAACCCCATTTGCCTCAGTTTCCTCATCTGTAAAATGAGCTGGAGAAGGAAATGGCAAACCACTCCAGTATCTTTGCCAAGAAAACCCTAAATGGGGTCATGAAGAGTCAGACAAGACTGAAACAATTACAACAGAATTATTCACATCTGTAGTGGTGGACAAGTTCCTTCAGGGCCACGGGGGAAGGTGACGGACAGGAGGAAATAGGGATGGTGAGGAGAGGGAACAGGGTAAATTCTGTTTTCCTACCAACCAAAGGCTACCCTGATACCAAATTCTCTCAACTTATTGAATAGCTTCTGGTCTCGGCTTCCATCAGAGAACAGGGAGGTGTGGGTGCAACACATCCATCAGCTAAAGTATACCCCAGCCTAAGGCAGTTTTATGATCCTCATTTATATGGGTGGCTTAACTCTGTTTACATTCCCTTTGTTCATAAACAAAAACTGAAAAACTCCCACTTCTGGAATTTTAGGAAAGGGATAACCATCCCTTCCAGCCCTAGAGTCAGGCCCCCTGGACAATCAGACAGCTAACTGATTCTTGCTCACTCAGGTTCCAAGTTTGTAGGTCAGAGGGAACTCTCTCTAATGTTTTTGGGAGCTGGGACTTGGTCCTCTCCTAAGTGATGAATAGATTAAAAAATTATTTCATGGAGAGGAGAGAGGAACAAAAAATATTAGAGGGTAGGGAAAAGGAGGCTAAGTCATATTTAAACAAAATAACAGACAAACAAAAAACGGTGTCTCTCAAAGATGGCAACTGTTAACCTTTGGAAATCTCCTGCTGAACCCCCTCACCCATGGAGGACTGTCAGAAATCATCATGATTTTGCTTACAGACACTCATCAAAATGACTGTACTCCAATGGGCATGGCCTCCCTGCTGGCTCAGCTCTTTATTTTATGTGGGAATTTGGATTTATGTCTCTTTGGGAGGTGGCCAGTTGCAGAAGCAACAGAGATAAGGAACGTTGGCTTGCATTAAGCGTATCTTAGCAAGGAGCTGGGCATGTTTCCTGGATCACCCCTTTCCATGCCCTGCTCCCCCCTCTCCCAGAAGAGTGTGTGTTCAGGCCATCTTCTGGGCTTTGGTTTTAAACCTTGCTGGAAGCTGGAGCTTCTTATCGTATTTTTAAAATATATTGTCATTTACATGACTAATGTGAAAATGTTTAATATGAATGTATATGTATAGCCTATATCTGATTGCAGGCCATCTTGTGGAGGGGGAGAAAATTTAGAACTCAAAATCTTATGGAAATAAATTTAAAAAATAAAAATAAAAAAATTAAGATATTACCATTTAAAAAATCTACTAACGTTCCATTAAATTTGACATGTGCTTAGGTACCTGCTCCAGGCAAACCCTGGTGCCATGTTCGAGAAAGAGCTAGATGATTTGGTGGAGAATGAAGTGGCAGTGTCAGGAGAAAGATTTTCTACTCTCACATGGATTCCTGACTTGCCATGTAATCTCAAGAAACCTGCATAAAAGACTTTCCTATTAATTCAGCAGGAAAACATTTTTTTTTGCAAGTACAAATCATGGAATAATTAAAAGTTTTTCTCTATGGCTTTGGAGTCCTTCATCAATAGCTTTGGGAAATCCATTTAATCCAAGAGGAAGAATGGCTCAGTGGTTAGAATGCTGGACCTGGTGTCAGGAAGACCTCTGTTCAGATCCCATCTGAGACACTTACTAGCTTTGTAACCATTGGCAAGTCACCTAATTTCTATAACCTTCATGCTTTGTTGGACTTGATCACTTTAAATCTGTAAGACCATTTCCAGATGTAAATCTATGAGCCCATGTTTCTTCCCTAGTTTCTCCTAATTATGCAATAGTCCCATTAGTAACATCTGGCACGTAGTAGGTGCTTAAATATTTGCCAACTGATGTAAACTGGCATAAGACCCTGACTTATATTGGCAGGCCAACTACAAAGTAGGCAATGATTTGAAAAGTAGGGAGATGAGAAAGGGAGAAAAGAAAAAATGGGACACAGATAAAGTAGGCTGTCTATGCAGAGGGGGGAAAAACAAAGATCAAAAAGGACATTCTAAGAAAAAAATGGGTGTACTTTTTACTCCAGCAAGCAAAGCATCTGGAATTTTCTCTTGAAAATAAAGAAGAAAGCTGTCTTAACTATAAGCTAAAATTCGATAGTACACTCCTCAGCAAATAGGCTTTGGCAGGGAGGAAAGTTTCTGTTTGTTGTTCTTTCTAGTATAGTTTTTAAATGGTTTACTAGCGAAACAACCAATCTGAAAATGTATAGATCCCTCAAATGGTCAGGCAGAGATTGGGATGATTCTGGATTCCTGCCTACCACTATAGGAAGAGATTTAACATCAGTTTCTGCTCATGTATTATGTTTTGGGGAAGGAGGGATTGGGGGAAGGAGAGATTGGGGGAAGGAGGGTGGCAAGAAGGATGGTTTAATCCTCAGGGTTCATAAGGAAAGTGTAATCTTTAAAAAAATTTTATTTCATTTTCCCCCCAATATGCGTAAAGCCAATTTTTAACATTCATTCAAAAAAAAATTGAGTTCCAAATTTTCTCCCTTCCTCATTAAGACAGTAAGCAATTTGATATAGGTTATATATGGGCAATCATGTAAAACATGCTTCCATATTAGTTATGCTGTGAAAGAAGAAACAGACCATTAGGAAAAAAAATACACACACACACAAAAGGAAGTCATAATAGTGTGCTTTGATCTGCATCCGGATGCCATCTGTTCTTTCTCTGGACGTAGATAGCACTGAGGATGTATAATCTTATGAAAGAGAGAAAAGGACACAGGCTGAGAATGATGGAAAAAGGGAGGCTAAAAGAGCAGATGTTCCTTTTTGGGCACATCACCAGGAGAGAAAGCAACCCGCCCGTCATCATTCTGCGAGTCCGTTCAGCCACAGCTGAGGCATGTGCTACAGACCTGGAATGATAATTTTGGTGCCAAGGAGTTCCAATTGTGCCCTGAGATATTTGCATCATGCTGGCATCAGTCCGGTCGTCTCCAGATGTGGTTGAATGCCAGGAGTGTGGTCGGCTCACAGGTTCACTGCACCTGGAGAGAGACAGATGGGAAAGGCAACCCTTCAGTGTCAGCCACATCTACAACAGACTCTTCCTGAAGGCTAACTCATGAATTTAGAAGTTTAAGCTGGTATATTTTCATATATCTCAAGGTAACAAGTATATAATTCATAAAGGCTCTAGAGAATATTTCTATTAGTCATTCTCTTACTGCTCCTAGTCATAACATCTTCAAATGGCCAAGCTGCCCTAATGTTGTTGTGGTTATCATCATCAACCGTTATCATTATTACATCTCATTTGGCTTCAACTCTTCCATGGGCAAAATATGTGAATGGTAACATTTGTTTCTTTTCAATCTCTTAGCCAGTCCTGGGAAGATGAGTTACTGTTTACAGAGGGGTTGAAGGCCTCCTTTCTGCTGGATAAATAAAAAACCACTATCATCATTTCAAGTACTTGGCAAGAATCAGGTAAAGATTAGCAGCTAATTGAGTACCAGGCTTCTTTTCTCCTTGGGCTAATGAGAGTAGATCTCATTCCAGTCCTCTGGTTTGCAAAATTGCCCTCATTTTTATCGTCTAGTGACTTTAACTTCGGACTATCTTAAAAAAAAAAAAGAGCAAAGGAAGAAAATGGGCATGGTCTATGGTTGTAGATTGAAATACAGAAGAGTGAGTTTGGTGAATGATGCTGTGCCAGGCTGTTCATCTCTCTTCACCTCTGCCATCTGGACACCTTAGATGTGGAGCTCTGGCAGTTTTCTTGGTCTACTCCCAGGACATTGGATGCCTCTGTGAACCTTTTGCTAATGAGACTTATGTTGTGCCAGTTTGTGTCTCAAAGATAAAAAAATATGTATGAAATCAGAAAATCTTAACACGTACCCTCACATTTCCTTTTGTAGAATGGCCTCAGTCTCATGTTGAGTTCACCAGTCTTACGTGAAATCTGATTGGCCTCTTAATAACAAGCTGACATTTTAATCATGCTTTATGATTTACAAAATTTTTCCTACATAAGGTGCCTCTTTCTAAGTTGGACAACTATATTAAGAAATGGGAAAGAAACAAAAATAGTTGTGAGAAACACTAAAAAGGGAGATGCTCAGAGAAAAGACACATACTCAAAATAAAGATGATTGAGCTATCACATTTCCCAGGATCTACATAACATATGAGTAATATAAGGACTCTGAGGTTGATTGGTGGGAAGTCTTTAGTACTTAGGGCTGTTTGGTGACTACAGGACAATTGTATATTGCCTAGATGTAATCAAACTAATAGAAATGTGGGTTTTGGTTTCTTAACATAAGAAAAAGGTGAGTCATTTGACAGAAGATAACTTGGTTTGGATTGGTAAGGCTGGTGGAGACCATAACTCAGGTGAGAAAAAACTAGATTTCTGAATGGGTTTGACAGAGTGTGACTAAGGAAAGTCAGGTGGTAGAGTAAGGTGCTCTATGCCCACCACACTACACATTCACTTTCATTTGATCTTCCCAAGTACACTACGAGATAGGTAGTGGCAGGATAATTATTTCTAGTTTTACAAATGGTTAAGCTGAGACTCAGGGCAACTCGATAATTTGTCCAAGGTCACACAAACAGATGGGAACTGTACTCAGTTCTGACTGGAAAGATGGTGTTCCTTTTATGTATGTTAAAAAACCACACAGTTCTTACTTTCACACATCTTGCTTGTTCTACTCCTACTCAAAGTCGAGTTCTAAAGGAGTGGGAAATGGATGATTACCTTAGGTAAAATTTGGGGAGCTTCTCTAAAGCTTATAGAATAATTGTATATCACTTTAAGGTTTTCAAAGGTTTATAGATATCCTTTTATCCTCAAAACAACCCTATAAGTAGATGCTATTACTATTCCCATCTTACAGGTGAGGAAACTGGGGCATATAGTAAGTGATTTGCCCAGGTGTACACAGATAGCAAGCAGCTGGTACTGGTGTCAGACGGCTTTGGTGTTCTTGGGTCCAGGTTCAGTCCTCTATCCACTGCAGCACCTCATGTGAAGGGCAAGTCCATAGATTTCCACATATTGACCCTAGAAAAGATTTTGCCTTGGAGAAGGCAACTGCTTGTTTAAGACTCATGTCCACCCCAAGCCTTTTCCTAGGGTAACTTCTCCTAGTCTTACTTCCATGTTCAGCCCTCAAACCTCACCTGAATCTAGTGGATATACCTAGACTCTATGGTCTCTTCTCTTCCTAGTCTAACCTGTTCTGTTCTGTGTCAATTTAATCCTCAGTTCTGACTACAGGAGTCTGAGGACTAGGGATAGAGATCACAGAAGTGAGCACTGAAAAGAGATTATTTGACCTTTTAAATCTGTGCCAAGCTCACCGAGTAACATGAGATTGTACCATGACATCAACTGCACAAAATTGAATGCAGAGATTGCCTCATTAACTCAGTAAAATTTTGTTTATGCACTCATATTGACCACGTGTACTCAACTAGAGCACCCAGAGGGGAAAAGGGATGGCTGAAGAAAAGGAAATGGATGAAACTTCAGAACCTAGAACTACAGTCTTTGGAGGAGAAGCATTCCCACTCTTAACCCTGGGGTGGTGAGAGAAGAAAGTTCCGCTGAGCCTGGTAGCAGCACAATAGTGGGTGAGCCCTGTTTCAAGAGAGGCTGTTCTAGGTTAGGGCATCTTGTTTTGTTTCCAGTCAAGTGGACTGTGTTTACTTAAGACTTTAATGAGAGAAACTGAGGGAACAAGCGGAAGCAAAGAGAAAACATAATTATTGCTTTCTGCAGATGAGAATTTAGAAAACCCTGAAGGGTCAAACAAAAAATCAATTGAAGGAACAAATTCAACAAGGTTGTAGAATATAAAATAAATGCACACAAATCCTTTTTGGTAATATAAAATGATTTTTTACTGCCAACAAAACCCAGAACAGTGTTAAAAAAAAAAGAAAGGGCATGTCAAATAACTAAAGGAGATATGAAATGTGAGAGTCTATCTATCCAAGACACATCCAAACTAGAATCCAACTATAAAATACTACTTGCAGAAATAAAAACTTGTGTGACCCTGGGCAAGTCACTTAACCCCAATTGCCTACAAACAAAAACAAAAACAAAAACAAGAAATAAAAACTGACTTAAATATAACCATAGAAATATTAATGCTCATGGGTAAGTCAAGCCAATAATAAAAATTACAACAACAGCTAAATTTGCTTATTCAATACTCTGCCAGTCAAACTATAAAAGGACTATATTATACAAGTAGAAAAAAATGATAATAAAATTCATAGAGGAACAAAAGTTCAAGAATCTCAGGAATAATCATGAAAAAGGTGGTTAAGGGGTATCAGATCTTAAAGTCTATTATAATCAGTAATGTAAAAAAATTATTTGATCCTGGTTGATAAAGACATTGATCAGTGGAGCAAATTAGGTAAGCCTAGGGCTCAGAAAGCCCAAAGATACCAGCTGCTGGGGGAAGGGATCACTATTTAAGAAAAATGACTGGGAAAACAGGAAAGCAGTTTGGCAGAAATGAGGTATAGACCAACCCCTAACACCATATACCAAGATTAATTCTAAATGGACGTGTGACTTAGACATAAAAGGTGACACACCATAAATAAATTAAAAGACAAGGAAGAAATTACCTTTCAGATCTATGGATAGGGGAAGAGTTTGAGTAAACCAGTAATAGAGAGGATCACAGCACATAAAGTAAACAATTTTGATTACATAAAGATCTATATGTACAAAAACATTTTTTAGCAGAACTTTTCACAGTAACCTCAAACCTGATGCCAGCATTCTTACCTATTGGAGAATGGCTACACAAATTAGGGCATATGAATATAAAATAGTACATAGAAATGGCATAGTTTTAAAGAAAATTAGGAAGAACTATGATGTGAGGCAGAGTAAAGTAAATAGAGCTAGGAAAACAATGTACCCAGTGACAACAAGATGAAAGAGAAAAACAACTTTGAAAGACTTTAAGACTCTGATAAACCAAGAGCAAAGAAGGCTGAAGAGAAATCATGCCACCCTCCTCCATCTAGACAGGTGATGGAATTAAAATTCAGATTAAAAACACGCATATTTGGACATGAGCAATGTAAGAATCTGTTTTGCTGGACTGTGTTGGTCACCAGGGTTTTTAACTGTTTCGCTGGGGGGTGGGCAAATGGAGGGATAAAAGGAAGTACAGATAATAAATGCTTGTCAAAATAAGCTTTTTAAAAATGAAAATAAAATGGAAACAATGTAGTTTGGAGAGGGAGTGCACTAGCAATGGGATGAGAGAGGCGAGAAGCAGGCAAAGTGTGTGCAGAAGGTGGCATTTGAAGTTAACCTTAAAGGAAAACAAAGAAAAGGCAGAGGTGAAGAAGGAGTGTCAGAAACATCTGGTGCAAAGGATGATGGGAAATGGAAGTGTTGTTAGAGGAACACTCCAAAAATAAGAGATACACCTCAAGGAACTTATATTCCATTGGGGGAGAAAACATGGACAGCAGGGACTGTTCTATATTGGCAATATCTATATCTACATTGGCAAAGGGAGTTTCCTCATTGGAACATCAGTGGTCCAGTTCCAAATTTCTTTGTGATTTTCCTTGTGAGGTCTTACCATGTCACTCCCCTATTCAATAAATCTCAATGTTTCCTCACTGCAGAATGCATTCCGTTACTCTTAACATGCCCTAATTTGCTCAACCATTCCCCAATTGATGGGCATTCCTTCAGTTTCCCATTCTTTGCCACCACAAAAGGAGGTGCTCTAAGTATTGTTGTACAGACATGTCCTTTTCTTCTTTGATTAATTATGGTTTTGACAGAGTTGTGCTATATCTCTAGGTTGAAGGGTATTCACAGTTTAGTGGAGTATTAATTCCAAATGTCTTCCAGAATGGTTGTACCAATTCATAGGTCCACCAGCAGTGCACTGGAGTAGAGTGAGAGCCACAGGACCACAGCCTCTTAGCCTGTGAACTGAGGCTCACATCTCACCTTTGGGGAACCTGTACAAGTGCTCCA